GAGCTGCACAATTCTGAATGATAGTCGATTCCCATTTTGTTATTGTCACTGGCCAATCGTTATTCTTTAGCAAATTTATTCTTACTCATGTCAAAGACACCAGTTTAAATATTTGCTGAGCTACGTATTACAGTAAAATCACTGGCAAGAGAAAGCAGTCGCATGCATGTGTAAATCTCCAGACACAGTTACAACAACAAAAAAGTCACACAGCACTGAATAACAAAAAAGCAGAAAAAATGTTAATACAAGAACAACAAAATAACAAAAAAGTACTGTGGTGACCAAAAACACAACAATGATATATCACTGCAATTTATGGAATACATTTTTGAAATGTTGGTGTTTTTCATGTGGTGGCTAACTATGATCACTTACGCATATAGTTTTGAATGTAAAATTACTACAGTGGGAAACTACACAATTTCTTTTTACATAAAGCCCAAAGCAACTGAAAATTATGCAAAATGATGGTAATTGCACAAAACCTTTACTTGCATCTACTAAAACATTTAGAAATGTGTGTGAAGTAATTAGAAATGTTCTGCTTTGCAGAAGTGACATGATGGTGTGGGGATTACGTGTGTTGTTTTGCAGCTTTTCTCGATTGCTTTCGAGCAGTTCTCAAATGAAACTCAACATTTGCAAAACAACACATGTAATCTCCACACCATCATGTCACTTCTGTACAGTAGAGCATAATTTTTCATTTTTTTCACACAAATTTACAAATGTTTTAGTATATAGATGCAAATGGTTTTGCACAATTGTCATCACTTGGCACAATTTTCAGTTGATTTAGTTTTGTTGGTCAAACAAGATTATGTAATTGTAATAATTTTATACTCAAAACTATGTATGCAAGTGATTATTGTGTTAGCCACCACATACAAAACAGTTAGGCAAGCTTTCAAAATAAGTTAAAAATATATTCCATAAATTGTAAGCATGTGCAAAATGACCTCTAAAGATGAAAAGTTTTGATGGTGGAGGATTTTTCGTGAGAAAGGATTCCATTAATTTTGAAGCATTAAGTCATTCAATGCACTTTGTATAAAGCAATGAGAAATGATTCACAGTTTAACTCGCATACACTGATGTCATGGCAATTGTGTAAAGAGCTAGCAATTGAAATACACTGTAATGTAGTATTGATGTTTTTTAGACCTGTGTTTCTCCTAATAAACATGATATGGTTTCACAAGTTTCCTCTATTTCTATCCATTTCTTTGTTGCATTTCAGTGGCAATCACTAGAAGCATGCTTTTGGAATCCCCTTTCCATTTCCACTGCAACTATACTATCCTGTCTTTTTGAAGACCACATCTCTGTCAGTCACGGCAGCAAACTGATGACAGGGGAAGCAGAAGCAAATCTGGTTTCACTGAGTATTTCAACTACGGCCATGAACAGATCCGGCTTGCCTTACATGCAGGAAATGTCTGACTAAACATTTGTTTAGAAAAGACTTTTAGTATTTGTTGGGATGGTGCACTAGTAATAATAATAATAATAATAATAATAATAAGAAGAAGAATACATTTTATTTGAAGCATCTTTCAAGGTACCCAAGGACACTGTACGGTAAAAGCAGAACATGAAATATAAAAGTAGTTAGACTATAACCAACAAATAGGTAGCATGTGATAGTATTCAGAATGCTTAGAATTTCAGCAGCAGGAACTATGCTGCTACCTGCCCTGTGTTGGTGTGAAGTGCGCAGGAAAGGTGTAACATTATTTGTTGAACTGCCCGCTTGATGCGAAGGTGCCGGTTCCGAAGCCAGGCTGTTCCAGCTAACAGCAGCTGTGAACGAATTGCTGGTAGCAAGCTTTGATCTGGGATCCAAAAATGACTGCATTGCATTTTAGGCTGTGTATGACTACTTTATGTGAAGTCTAGCAAGTCTATCCTCCTAGGTGACTATACTGAGCACTGATGTCAATGTTAGCAAACTGTCAAATGTTAAATCCTGTTATAGTGAATTTGCTAGCTGACAATAATGTTAGCTAGCTAACTATCTAATAAACTAAACCACTACCAGACAACATAACACTACAACAAACTACAGCAACAATAAGATGCATTTTAATAAGAATAAGCTTTAATAAGAATGTGCTAATATTCCTCTTCCATTATCACAAACAATAACACATGCTGCAGAATGATATCGGAGTTAAGGCATCTCCGTTATTATTCTGTCCAAATTCTTAAAAAAACATGGTGATTGGTAGATTCAAATGGGACAGAATAAAGTTGACCAATTGTGTGGGCAGAGATTTAGGAAGAGGTGACCATATTCATGGTGTTAGAGGTGGAAGACCAAAGCATGCATTTACTTCAAATAAGATCTGTGCAACAATGGTTGACCATGAGATAAACCACAATCTCAAAGTGAGAGAATCAGGTCAGAAGGTACAACCCAACCTCAGTAGATCCTCTGTTCTGAATTTACTGACAAGAACAAACAGGAATGAATTGTTTTTGTCAATGTTTTGTCCATCATGAAAGCAACTGCTGTATAGCATGAATGTTGTCTCTGCATCCATCTATAGAGTGTCCCCTCCATCTCCATGATATGGAGAAATGACTTCCCTGTTGAAGCCGGGGCCGAGATGTCTTTCTGGAAGGGGTCCCCGGGGAAGGTCTCAGGGAAAGCCCCAGAGAATCCCACTCCAACTCCTCCTCTCATGACGAGGGAGGGGTGGCAGTTAGGAGGGCTAAGTCCTCTGGGGCTTGGTTGGGTCTCTTGGGGAGAGGGTCTGGAGGCAGGGGAGCTGGGACAGGGTCTGGAGGCAGGGGAGCCAGGACAAGAACCGGAGCAGGAACCATGGGGGCTGGAGCAGGAACCGGAGGTTGCGCCTCGGATGTGGGCGCAGCCAGAAGTTGCACCTCTGGGGCAGATGCCACAGGGAGATGCGACTGCCGGAATGTGTAGGAAGCAGCAGCAATACAGGCTTCGGGGACACTCTCTTGGGGATTCGAGGAACGGCATCCTCTGGAGACCTGGCACCTTTACGGGCCAAGCATGTACCAATGAAGGCACGGGCTTCGGGCGCACTCTCGGGGAAAGTGGCAGCACTGTAGGCTTCAGGCGCACTCTTGGGTGGAAGCGGCTTCGGCACAGTTTCAGGCACCGACAAAACACAAACGTCACCAGCTCGAGGATCGGGAGGGGCTCCTCCCGATCCACCACCAGGGAGGAAGCGGGGGCCGCAGCAGACCGCAGACGGACTCCAGACGTTTAAGACGTTAATGACAAGACTGGGGAAAAGCCAACTGGGAAGCACTTAAATACACAGACTCAATTAAACAAGACTAGACGCAGCTGGTAACACGTGGATTCCACACGTGGTTAACGAGGTGGAGTGGCACACAAGTGGAGCGGCAGGATCGGGACATGACACTGGCCTTTTGGTAAACTGTAACCTGTAAATGACTCTGTAGATGCTGATGTGTTAGATACACGCAGGAAACTACCCAATACCTGGGGTCCAGTGGGTATTGGGTACAGGGGAACATCATGCCCCAATTCTTCAAGCATGATTATATTGTTAATTTTTTTTTTTTTTAATATTAAACCAGCGTTATTGCCAGTGGTAGTAACCAATGCACACATCAAGGAAACTGCTCCAATAAAGTCTTAATGATGTCATTTTAAAAAAGCCCAATTTCCCCAAAAAAGATGTTACAGGATGATTATCATCACATTCTGACGCCTTACGATCCTGCATAAAAAATATTCTGCCCCGTAATCATGCATACAGTACTTCACTATATGCATTTGGTTTGATTTAGTTCACGGGTTATGTGTGTTTTCTATTGTTATTAATTGGCATGATTTGTGGGTGGCTATGAATGAAGCAATGCTCTACACATTATGGATGTTCGTTAATAATGTTAGTTTTGTAATACAATAACTAAAGTAAACACAAGTAGTTTCTGTATCTGACTATTATTTTAACTCTGCTGGTGTGCATGGCTTTCTTTGTCATTAGAATAGCTTTCTCCCACTAGCAACATCCCCACTACACAACTGCCCGTTCATTGCCCTTTACAAATAACAAGACAAAACATGTTTGCTGGGAAAGGCTGACTCACGCATATTGAAAAAACAAGCGACAGACTTCAGGAAGAACTGATCATAAGCACTTCATATATATATATATACACAAACTGAATTAATCAAGCTACACTAACCCCAGGCATTTCACACACAGTATTTACCTTATATCAATCAAGAGCTGTTGTGTTCTATACTCCACCTTGACAAAGTAATACTCCAGAAGATTCCAGCAAAGTAAAATGGCAAATTAATAATATCTAATGCAAAGAAAAACTTCAACATCAAATACAACAACAGTAGAACATACGTCTAAAATGATGTTCTAAAACAGTAATCTCAATTAGTGATTTTAGTGGTTTATGCCTTTAAGTAGAACACTATGTGTTTCGGGAAAAACAGAAATACTTGCTGTCACATGCCTTCTGAATGGGGGTGTAACATTGCCTACATTTTTTTTCATGAAACTAAAATGCCTTAAAAAGGCAATGTAAATATTTTATTTTTTTATGGTATGTTAAGAGATTAGACAAATGAGATTAATACCAAAGCTGGTAATGAGTAATAAACAATTATAGTGCATCAGTTCCACAATTAGAGTATATTTCAAAAAGCTTTTGTGGTTATTGGTATTATTACTTGTTGAAATACTGGCATCATGTCCGAGGTGTAGTTCAGACTTGTGCCCTAAACTGCCTGGGATTGGTTACATGATGCTTGGGAGCTGTTCTACTAACTATCCAGGAAGATAAGGAGCTAAAAATCTGCAACATGTAAGCCATGGGGGAGCGGGCTGACAGGCATCAAACCCCGGGGACAAATTCTCCTCCCCCGCCAGCAAATTGTACAGAATGCACCTCCCGCAAAATTCGCAACAATTTACACAGAGAATCCGTCCAGCTCCGGGTTCGCAGATTTTGCCGAGAGCCACCAGTCGCCCCCGACCCCCTCGCAGTATGATCACTCCTCCCCCCTGAATATGTGCATCGGGCAGAGTTGCTTCATTCATTTTGTGACAGCAAGTTTGCACAACTTCCCTCATCATTTCGTGCGTAATCCGTTTGCGTAAAAGCTCAGGAATTAGACTCCTTCCAACTGTCCTTTCTTGCTTGGATCATTCCTTCTGGAGAGTTTGTTGGGAAGTTGAAGGAGATGGGACAATTCCGGTTTTGCATACATTTTCTCATGGTCAGCTTCGCTTTCGCGGGAATACACTGGACATACCATGGTACCAGAACACCTTTTTTCTGTCTCCTTTTGCACGTGTTTATTCGTTTGGTAATATCGAAGACTATCAACAAGCAAAAATTCACAAGTTGGTGACAAACGAAGTGAAACGGAACATATAATATGTAGTATTTAATATATGTTAATCTATGCTTAACTGAAAACTCATGCTATTCTTTATTATGTTTTCTGCTTTTTTGTGTTGTATGTGCTTTATTATGATTGCAAGCTTTGGTGTTTTGTAGTTGAATTTATTTTTGTTAAACTGTAATAGCTTAAATACAATAACATTAATTAAGTAATACAATTTAGCAGAAATCTTTTGTTTGTGCTGCTTTATACATACTACTGGTGTATTTACAATATTGATTTAAATTGCATTTACTTACTGAAAATTACTAATATGTTGACTCAATGTATGTGTGTGTGTGTTTAAATATTTATATTATTTGGTGATGATGAAATTGATGGTATTTTCAGCATTGCAAATTAATTCTGTATTTTCATTGACACATTATATGGGGAATGACACTCTACAGCATCATGTTGTTACATGGTGTAGCTTTTAGAAAACAAACTTGTTTTATTAAAGATGATATTTGGATGTTCAGTGAAGGTTGACATGAAGGCCAAGTCAGATGAAATATGAAACTGTTTAAGATTAAGATTAAGATTAGTGTTCTGTTTAACAGCCGCACTCTAGTTTAAAAGTGGGATGGATAATGAATGTGACTGATTCAGTTTTGATACATGCTTTCTGTTAAACATGCCAGATAAAATTAGGAAGGGATATAACATTTACATTATCCTATGAACTATGCTAAAGTCCTAGTTTTCATTTTGAGTTTATGAATTCAATAACATAGGTTATTTCCACAAAATGCAACAGGCCTGACGATCACCTGTGTGTGAGGAGTCCCTCTAGTGGCGACTCCGTGTAACAGTGTCCTCTTCCTGTTCCCTGCGTATTCTCTCTCTTTTTCCTTATCCAATGCTGGGATATTAAATAGATGGAGGCCTTGACCAGATGCACTGGGCAGAGACTTATGCAGCCTGTGGGGGGCGAAGTCAGTCTCCAATCGATATTCAGCGCCGGAATGTGCGGCACAATCCAGACTTGGTGCAGCTGGAGCTCACTGGCTATAACCAGCAGAGGGGGAGATTCCTCATGACCAACAACGGCCACTCAGGTACTGCATTTTCCACCCCTTGGTATGGTGTCTGTTTTGATACAAGTGATTGATCAGAACATGGTCACCCTGGCTTTGATACCTTTATTTGGTTCCTGATCAGCAGCGTTGATTTTGTTGAATTCCTTGTAAGGAATGTCATCTCTGTTGTGGTTTTTATGTTTCAGTGTTTTTTTCCAAGCTCAGCAGTGTTTGCTGTCAACTATTACCTTCATTCTGGTTCAGTACACATACAACTTAAAATTCTTCAGTCGGTGACCAAAGTAGTAAAACGTGACATGAAATATGTAGTATCTAATATGTAAATCTAATGCTTAACTGAAAACTCATCGCACACTATTCTTTATTCTGTTTTGACAATGATTGCAAGCTTGGGTATTTTGTAGTTGGAATTAATTTTTGTTATAATGAATTATCTTGTATAGAATAACCTTAAATAGTACAACTTAGAAGAAATCTTGCAAATTGAATATTTAAACTTAAAAACCTTAAAATTCTAAACAATTGTTTTGTCAATATTAAGATGAATATTATTATTTAAATTTTTATTATTACAAGCCCCTTAACACTATATATATTTCCCAATATTTCCCTGCATCATCCAGGCTGGCATTTTCCTGCCATGCAACTATACTGTACATCATTTTTCCAAAGCAGTTCTTTCCTCATTTTCATATATATTCAAATATATACACCATGAAGAGCCAGTACCATTTTCTTATTAATTTTCCCAATTTTAAATAATGCGAATCTTTTTAGTTTTTAGTAAGACTCTAACAGAATGTAACAGAAGTATCCGATTGTACCGTAATGTTTTACATGTTCCTGTACTGCTCTCTGCTCTTTTCCCTTATGTGACCCAGTACAAATTGATCTTCCCCCAACAATGAAGATCACCGAGGGACTGGGAGACAGCTACACAGCCGTTCAGATGCACCTTCACTGGGGGGGGTGGGACCTGGAGGCCAGCGGAGCAGAGCACACGCTGGACGGCATTCGCTACATGGCTGAGGTGAAGCGCACTGGTGCATGAGGCAGATGTTCTGTATGCTAATGTCAGTAGCTTGTCCAGCATACTTTAGTGAAGTACTAGCTGAGCTAGGCTATGTTAATGCGGCTTTGCTGCCCTTGGGGGTTTGGCCGGTGCTGCTGTAGTGCTGCCCCTGTTGCAGCTTCAGGTTCAGTCAGGCTATGCATATGTGGCTAATCACTTCAAATATCAATATGACTGAATTTGTCTAAATGGTGTTTAATTTCCAATAATATATTAATACATGTAATTTCTACAAAATGCAACATTAAAATATGCATTTTCTAATTACAGGAGACAGTAGCAGCAACACAAATAATTTTATCAAACACTATTGTTTGATTAATAGAACCATCCTGTGCTCTTTGACCTTTATGCCGTGATCCTTTATCCTTGCAGCTACATATTGTCCATTACAACTCTGACAAGTACAGTAGCTTTCAGGAGGCTGTGGACAAATCAGATGGGCTCGCTGTGCTGGCATTTTTCTATGAGGTAGGATGTTTCACCAAAAGCCTGGCTGTCCTGATTGGCTGAACCACATGACACAAGAACTTTGAATTTTGGAGGGAAACAAGACAAAAAAGAGAGCAAGTAATAAAAATCTGAAAACATAAAACAAAGATAACAGATATGGAGCAAATGCTGCACACTTCTGACATTCTTCAAGTTGAAGGATTAATTATTTTATTAATTTCACATTTTGAGTTTAATGAATAGATATTGTAATAGTAATCAAATTAATTAGTAATATCGAAAGCAATAGTAATGTAAATCTACTGGAATGCAGTGTCATGTCACCTATGACAGGTGAGTGATCTTATATATTGTAGCGCCAGGCTGACTGAGGCATCACAAGCGGTGAAGGACGAGGAGACAGAACATTCTTTATTGTAGTCCTTAAGAGGACTGTAACAAGGTAGATTTATACACAGCTAAGGACACGCGAGAATCGTACAGGGTGCACAAAAGACACAGGCAAACACATGCGCAACAATAAGGAATGCAATTATAACCATAGAACATCAGGACACACATGCAGCTGTTTACAATTACCCGCGGGGCATGCTGGGACATGCTGGGGCATGCTGGGACATGCAAACCCCGCTGGCACTACACTAAGTAGATTTTTTTTCAAATGTAAATATTTAGGTTCTCCATATTTGGCTCCAGCTCAGTGAAAGAGCAAACACCACCCAATAAATAAGGGTGTAGAAAGAGCGTCACACTTTGAGAAGACGGGCTCAAATGACCTAGAGCACCCTTATATGGACATGCACGGATATCCTTGACAAACTGTGCTGTAAACAGAGTAGATTGATCTGTCCACCCTGTCCCATATGCAAGGCAGATCTGCCCTGTTAATCACTCACCTGGGTCATTAACTGCCACTCGCAGACTGTGCCAGAGGTGACCTCAAGGTCATTACAGGCTTTATACCTGCTTTTGGGGTAGCGTTATAGGGACCTTTTTCAAAGCTTTGTGGTTTCAGAATCTTTTTCTCTATGTAATTTTCACACAATTAGCTAGTCAAACTGCATTTTATTTGAGTATCAATAAAGTTACAATATGCAACCTAATGTTGAGTTTGCTGTGCCACAAATTAGACAGAGAGAGGTTAAAAGATAAATAGCAATGTCCTTTAATGCAGTTAGATATAATTTATTTTAAAATTTATGTGATTTTACAACCTAAAAGAAATGTCTATTAGATATTTAAATATATCTAAAATGTAATATCTGGATTGTCTGCTCTGTCTCCAGGATGGGCATTTTGAAAATACTTACTACAGTGACTTCATCTCCAACTTGGCTAAGGTTAAATATGCTGGTGAGTAATGCCACACTCACTACAATACTCCTCAATACTCCTACAGCCACAGGCACATCATACATGTTAGTATATTATCCTACTCTCTAGTTCGGCGGGCTCCCATTTTGATTCGTGTTGTCCTTTGACCTTGCTCAGGGCAGTCCATGAATATTTCCACGCTTAATGTGCGTTCCATGTTGCCGGAGAACCTGTCCCAGTTCTTCCGGTATCATGGCTCCTTGACCACACCCCCATGCTATGAGAGCATCCTGTGGACGGTGTTTGACACGCCCATCATGCTCTCACACAATCAGGTATGTCCCACACCTCGGGCCATCTAAAGCCACTCTTTATTCTCGCAATAGTTTGGAGATATAGAAATGGATCCATTTTGAACATGTGAACAAAACTATTGTTCTTTGCAGTGAAGTGTTTCTTTGCAGTTTCTGTGTTGATGCTTGTATGCAGTTAAATGCAGTAGGTAAGCTTAGCAGTGCCTGATGCACCATTCACACAAAGAGACGAAGCAGGTGGTGTAGGTGTGAATGCAAACCCATTTTGTACCTCCAATCAGATCCGAAAACTAGAACACACATTGATGGATCTTGAGAACAAGACCCTGTGGAATGACTACAGAATCGCACAGCCTCTCAATGACCGCGTGGTAGAGTCTTCCTTCCTGCCCCGACTAGGGAAAGGCAGTAAGCACTTCTTGGCATTCCTTGACATGAACATGCTGGTTTCCTGAATCCTACCACTCACTAAGATTATCTTTCTGTTCAGCATTTTGTCGACAGGAAGAAATTGAGTCCAAGTTGCTAAAGATCGAGGGGCTGCTGAACAACCTGGGCAAGCGTATACATGCAGGTCCGCCCCGCTGGCCTCACTGCCTCTCTCACCACACGCACTGCTGAGTCAGTGCTCCACACTGGAGGATAAGTAGTGGGAGGAATGACTGTCACTAGTCTTTGTTTTTGTTGTTTATTCTGTATTCAACTTAGGTTCTGATGGAGAAAAGCCACCCAAAGGTGAGGGCGTAGAATCAAATGTGCATCTGCATATATATATATATACTGTATGTGTATGGCATATATACACATATGTACACACTGTATGTGTGTCTGTATATATATATATATATGTATATATATGTGTATATATATATATATGCATGTATATGTCTATCTATCTAATCTATATATATATATATATATATATGCGCGCACACACATGGTGTCTGTGTGTGTTAGTATATATATATTTATATTAAGCATTATTTTAAACAATAGACACTTCCACCACTAACCCCATTATGTGGGCAGCATATGAGCTAAAACCTGTGCAGTTGCCTGCCCCCTACTGGTTGAGCCCATGTCTTTTTCTGGTCTTTGACTCCTCTCCACTCTCTTGTGCCAGCAACCCCACTGACTGCCATTATGTTGCTGTCCCTGTGACAAAAGCCAGCTGTTTCACGTTTAGCATTAGAAAGGAAAGCAAGTTTGCATCTCACACTTTGAATATGGCTGTGAGATTCACTGATTGTCAGGCTGGGTCACTGATGGCCATTAGAATGTGAAAACTAAGGGCAGATAGAATGGTGGGGATTTTAGGTCAATGGGTAGCTCACTTGGGTTCAGTACGTGGAGTTTTTATTTACAATTATATTTCTAGACATTTTCCGAAGTGCATAACTGCTTGTTACCTATGCAGTGCTTTGTTAACTGTTGTCTCGTGCCAGTGTAATACAGTACTGCTCTGTTACTTGTTATGTTTGTGCTCATGTTGCACTGCTTTGTAGCCTGTTAGTATGTTCATCTGTTCGTATTGTGCTGCATGCTAGGTTGCTGCTGCCTTACATGTTCATGTTGTGTTGCTTGTCCTGTTGGTGCTGCTGTTTTTGCTCTGCTTTCTTTTACAATGGTGCTATTACCTGTGAGACTGGCTATGATCCATCACTAAAGTAGCTGTTACATGAATACAATTTGAAATGCGGTCTTGTTTTCCCCTCAGGGCCACGAGTCATCACTCCACTGGTGCTCCAGTTTGTTGAGAGGAAGGTGGAGAGTTACGCTCTGGTGCACAGCACACACACCACGGGCCTGCAGGCCTTCACCGCTTGCATGCATGTGCGCGTTGCTCCCAGTGCTGTACAGACTGTCCTCTCGTACTCCAGCTCCAGTAACGACAACGAGCTCACGATTTCTGTGGGATTCGAAGTGGGCCTGTGGATTGGTAGCCAGTTTGTCAACTTTCCTCTGGAGCAGCTTTCGTCAGACTGGGTGAATTACTGTGTAACATGGGCGTCACATGGAGGCAGCATACAGCTGTCTGTTAATGGTGTGATAGGAGAACAGCAGAACTTCCAAAGCGGGTATGAGATACAGCCTGGTGGCATCCTCATTTTGGGTAACGATAAGGATGGTTTCCTAGGGATCTCGGACTTCAATGCCTTCGTCGGCCACATGACAGATGTCAATGTGTGGGATTATGTGCTCAGCCCTGGAGAGATTCGAGAGCAGGCGGTGTGTGGGAACAGCACCCAGAGGGGAAATGTGCTGAGCTGGGGTGTCTCCCCGCTTAGCTTGTATGGGGGTGTGCGGTTGGGCTTGGACCACCGCTGCCCATGATTGGTTACCCTCTTGGCACTGGCCATATCTCTGTCATGCTAACAGAACAGGAAAGAGCCTCGCCACTTTGCAGGCCAAAATTTAAAGCTATATAAAGTTATATATAAAGTTTTTACAGCCAAAACAAAACATGAGAACTTGTAACATTTAAATCGCAGCTACTAGGGGTGCAAATATGCACCGTGATGCATTGTGATGAATAGATAATTAAGGTGGCGATTCAGTGCATCAATCTGCAATGTATGGAATTTTTGGAGTAAAACAAAGATACTCCTACTTCGAAGTTGAACGCCCTCACATTCACGTGCTCACAAAGTACAGTACCAGTGCCAGCACACCAATTTGCAAAGGAAGCACTACCTGATGATCTTTGCACTGCGACTCTTTCGGGAAACTCGCCCCTGTTTAACAGTGCAGACTCTCTAATGGTTCCAGTGCTTTTGAGAAATGCCTCTGTGGTGTAGAGTAAAGATACCAGAGCAATGATCAAGACCATGAGGTGGATAACAATCTGGCTTTTTGTAACATTAGAAATGCATGAAATATTGGTTAACGCATCGGTATCAGCCAATATTTAAGAAAAATCAAGATATCGGCATAGTCTTGATGTGTCAGTCTTGGCCAATAATGCCGGCCAATACTTAAACTTTATCAATATTTAAAATTGGCAGCACCAGAGCTAAAGACGCAACTAAAAATAGGTCTCAAAGTACTGGCCAGTGACATGTTTATAATTCAGTAGTAAATGTGACCTGCAGATCAATCTTTTGTTTTCCACAGAATAAAAAGCGATATAATGCCATTCCGATAAACTGGGCTGGCAAGCTCGCCTTTCACCCCCCCCATCAGGTAGCGCTCCTTTGATATGTTTAGTTTGTTCATATATAGTTCAGTAGTTGAACTATATACTGTATAAAAAAACTTTTGACACTTTTACACTGGTGTGTCTTCCCTGTTTAATAATAACAATAAAAATGAATGTCATTTATTAAATTAATGACTTTCAGTGACGTTAAGAAAAGGTATATGTTATAATACATAATCGAATAATGATTTAATTGAATCAAATTGTGATATAAATCAAACAGCTTGATACATTGAATTGTTCCCTCAATAATTGTAATTGAATCGAGTCACCTTAGGGCCAATGATTTACAATCCTAAAATATGTGATATGTAAAACAGATACTTATCAAATACTTAACTTTTTACTTAACTAGTGAATTCATTTAGTAAGGAACGTGGTTATTCCTATGTGTTCATGTATGCAATAAGCGATCAAGTTAATGCGTAAACTCAGTTTCCATTCATAGACATACATGTCATTTTGTGGTGAATGGCAGGTCTTCCGTCCTTTGTATATAAGTATGCATCAAACTTTAAGATTGCTTCTATGTTTCTCTTTTAAAATAAAGCTCACACATTCTTTTGAAAAGTTGCCATAATCGGTTTAATGAATCCCTACAAATTCCAGTTACAGACCTTTGTGAGGTTTACATGTTCATGTGGTTTTTAACTCTGTGTATTTCTGCAGTCCACAAATAAGCAGTTAAACTTGCATTTCTAAGGCATTGTGCCTTCTGCATACTGCGGTAGACTCCAGGCTGACGGTAGCCCTGTTCTGGATAGTGATTATGGAACATTGGATTATTGGAACATGTGTTTTCTATAGAAAAACCTGCTATGTTTTGAGTAGACAAATTAACATGGGAAAAAATTGAGTTAATTTAGCTGTTATGTGATGTGTTTTTATAAACAAAGACACTGGACTATGTTTCTGTGAAAAAGAAGCAGCACCGATGTCCTGATGTTCGTTTGATTCACACCACCTGTGCCTTGTTTCGGCATTTATGTATTAAGGGTCTGTGGTTTGATATGGCTGTAATCCCAGACGGAATCTGCAGACAGACCCTCAGACGGAAAGAGAGAAAGACAAAGCAGTACATTGCGCAACCGTCCCTTTGTTGTCCCACCCGCTGAAATAGCTTCTCTATTTTGGCATAATCAGAAGTCCCATTAATGCCCAACCCTTTACCCTTGAAAACTCATGCTTTTCTCATTCATTCCCCCATATCTTAAAGCTACTTTTCAAACCAGAGGCGCTTCTGGGATTTGACCATTAAGGGGGCTCAGCTCCCCGAAGAAATAGGGCATGTTACCACCCCTTGATTAAATTTGTTGAGAGGAGGGGGGATCACCACACTAAAGTTTGCCGAGCCAGGGGTACTAAACGTATATGAAAATTCAGGAAAAGTCACTAAATGGTTTTAGAAAAACCATTCCCTGGCCCAGTAGAGGCCCCATCTGCATCTCCAGTTCCCAGGTCAGCAGAGGCCCCGTCCATGTCTCCAATCCCTATGGCACTAGAATTTCAGGTTCCTGGCCCCTGGAGGAGGACACTCACCTCAATTCTCCAGCACCCATTGTCCGACCTGCTGCCTCACCGGTGTCTGCCTCCTCTCCACTGAAGTTTAGTTCCTCCACAGCATCTTGGGCGCCTGACTCCCTGGCCGCTTCACCTGCGCCCGACTTGCTGACACATTCTGTGGAGAGTGACCCAGAGGATGCCCCACAAAAGGATTTGGAGTGGGATCCTGTGGTCATCAGTCTAGGTCCTACTCCGCTGGTCCATGCTCCAGTCATGTGCTTCCAGTTGCCTAGCTGCCAGTTCACCTAAGAACCCCAAAGTTTCATCTCCTGGTGCCCTGCCTCTGTTTGCAGCATCAGCCCCACCATTCAACCCAAGTCTGGCCAGACCATCCTCAGACCGGTCCTCGGCCCAAACCCCTGCCTGTAATGCCTACACCTCCATATGTTTCTGAGTTTCCATCCCGCTTACTCTTCAGATTTCAGCCCTTCATCAATCAGTCCTGGTCTCAATGTCTTTCCCTCAGTGGTGTTTATGTGGTCTGCCCTCAGGTGTGTCATCCTGTCAGCCCTTGCCACAGCCCTGGCTGTTCATTCTTCACATGTCTGTCCTTCTTCCCCAATGGGTTCATGTCTTATCTGTCTTTCCTGCTCCCTAGGTCTTAGTACAGTCTAGTATCCTTGGTCTTGTCTGCCCTGTTTGGTCTTGCATCTTGTGCCCTATCCTAGTTCTGGAAGTACCTCCCATGCCTGGAGTGCATGTATCTGTCCCTACTGTGTCTGTGTAGTTCCTGTTTGGCCAGATGTCGCAGGTCATCCCGTTTTCTTAACAATTCCCTGTCCTAATGTGGTAATTAACTCATGGTTTGTACCTGTCCCTTGTTTAAGTCTCATTAACTATCTACCCTAGGGCTGGTCCTCTGTGAGTCATTGTTAGTGCTGTTAAGTTCTGCGCTTGGTGTTCTTGTTTTCCCCATTAGTGTTTCTTCATTCTTAACTGATTTTTTAGGTTAGCCCTGCTCCATTGTGTTTCTCCACCCTACCTCCCTTTGTTTTGAGCTGATGCTATACAGTTAAAAACATCTTAGAACCTTGTAGGCAGAGTGTTGAGGCAGAAGGTAGTAGGCCTAAGGTGTTTAGCAATTTCTGTCAAGGTTGCATGGTCTAGGACAGGGCTATTCAAATCACGGTCCGCGAGGTCCGTGCCCTGCTGATTTTCCAGCCTTCTTTTACCTGTGAGTCAGGTGCGAAACCTCTGGCTAATTAGAATCAGTAACTTTTACACCAACTACCTGGGAGAACTGAAAACAAGGCCTGGATTTGGAATCGAGGTCCAGATTTGAAGAGCCCTGGTCTAGGAGTTGAAAATGTGCCAAAATAACTTAGTCCTGGGCAGAGGCAAAGGTGACATCAACATTTCGCCTGAGAAGAAATTACGGACTTACCCTCACAATTTTATCTATGAAAAAACATCCCAAGTCATTGCATGATTTGGTGGATAACAATCAGGAGGATGTGATACTGAGGGGTTTGTCAGTCTGTCAGCAGCAGTAAATATGGTGCATGCATTATTGTTATTTTTATACATAATTTTAGGGGAAAACAGCTGTCTTACCCTTGATAGCTGTAGATGCAAAGTCTCTCGTTATAGATGTCATAGTGAACCAGGAGCTTGGTTTTTGCCACCTGCGCTCTGCCGTTCGATACTCTTTGTTTTTGAGTTTTTACCAGTGTGACATTTCTCCACGGTGCTTTTTTTCTTACCAGAGACAACTTAGAAGTTCCTGGGGCCAGTGACATCAATAATGTTCATAACTTTAGAACAGAAACTGTCTAGAAGTTCATAGACAAGGGGTTGAAGGTAGAGCTGGTGTGGGTGTAACAGCCTGAGTAATTAATGCACGTGTGTTTGCGTTTATATAGCATTGTCTGATTATATCTTTTAGCTCTGCTGATATCATTTTAAAGGAAACATAGCAATGATCGTAAAGGGCAACATCAGTCAATGTGTACGTCTTTGAAAATGACTGCATCCCTTATTATGTGTTGAATCGGCGACATGCTGAGAAAGTCCAAAGGTATCCAGGATGTTAAACAGTTCTGTAGCACTGGCATCTTTAGGATTATCAATATGGATATTAAAATCACCCATGATAACAACACAGTTAAAATCAATACACATGGTAGACAGTAATTTAACAAAGTCATGAGAAAAGCTTGCACTATATTTTGGAGGCTATATATGGTTATTAATATTGCTCAATAGGAGGATCTCAGCTGAAGAGCAAGATATTCAATCAATCAATCAATCAATCTTTATTTAATTCAAACAAACAACAAATAAAATATTTGATATTCAAAAGAGCCAGACTTCTTTTGGAGGAGCTGATTCAATAAGCACTGCTGCATTATTTTCATTTAACCACGTAAAAACCTAAAATCAAGGTCAGATAATTAATTGAATCATTAATTGATTGCGATTTGCCGGCCAAGGATCTGATATTCAGTGAAGCGAAGTTTAATGTATTAAATGCATTGTGTGACCCAGTCTGTGGATGATGCACAACTGGAGTGGGATTAGACAGGATAGCTGTGTGCTTTGTGGACACTTTGTTCACCCTCAAGTTAGTCAAAACAGGAATGGCAAACATTGGAGCTGCTCCGTGCTGCCGATTGTGGGTTGTGGCAATAGCAGTGGATCCATATCCAGCATGATGGGAGAGAAATGAGCTGGGGGGGGGGTTGGGTAAGGACAACGAACAACAACAAACAAACAAATTTATTTTTGTATAGCGCATTATCACAAGTCTGTCCTAGTTGTCAGCACACCCTGTAATGCCGACAGCAGGGAGGCTGTGCTTGCTTTGTTTACGTAAGCAGGAGCTTTTGATGTCACACAGTAATATGTCAAGGCTTTTTTATTTGCATCCTTAGCTTATGTGAGGTGTCCGTGAGGTTGGAGGGGGGGGGGCTTTGAATAATTCATGGCAATTTCCTTGAAAGGAAAGAGGCCTTCTTTTCCAAATTTTAACCTTTTCCAAATACCAAGAGTGTAGTGATGGAGGTAGGAGGTGAGGTTAGCAGTTAGCATATGGACCCCAACACTGTTCAAACGAACCCCGTCCATCTTGTAACAGTTTTATTGTTCCAGGAACAGGTTAAAATTGTGAATGAAGCTCCACTCATGGGCACTGCATGCTGAGGAATGCCAGATACAGCGCTACCTTTGAAAACTAACTCAATTTGTTTCAGAAGACAAGTTCAGAAGGATGAGTTGCGATTTTATCGAGGTCCAAGTTGAATTTCCCCATAAGAAATAATGTCAATGAATTTAATCCATTCCAGACCCCCAAATGAATGCCTGTTTAAACCTATCTACTTATCTAACTAATGATAAATCAACCATCAATATAAAATTAATTTAATCGAATAAAACTCAATCAAAATTAATTCAATCAATATAAAACTAATACACACATGAAAAAAGTACACATGCAAAAAACATGAAATCTATGACAATTTATGAGAACTTTACCTATATAGAGGTGAGCTGATGGCAAACTGCACACCAACGAGCCCCCTCCCCCCAGGAAGAGGGAGGTTGTGGTGGATTAAATTATTAGAGGTGTAGACAGTTATAATATTGAGCTCCCCAGTCGAGCCATTGAGGCTGCGGCCTGCATCCGCTCCACAGTGTGTCCTGTGTCCATGCAATAGTAAGGGGGACATGATCTAGGTATGTAATATTCTAACAGGTCTGGATGCTATTTAACTATGTAGTTCCTTCAGTAGCAGAACTCCTGGACATCGGTGGAAATTAGTTGAGAGCACATTTTAAACTGGATTTGAGAAAGGACTTCTTTACACAGTGTGTAGTTAGAGTATTGAATAGTTTTCCTGCTAGTGTAGTGGAAGCTAAAACCATGGGATCCTTTAAATCAAAGCTAGATAAGATTTTAACAACTCTGATCTATTAATTGGGCAAGCTTGATGGGCTGAATCATTTGTAAATTTCTTATGTTCTTACTGCCAAGTGAATTTTTTTTCACCACTAACATATTACTTGGA